ATTATTGAAATCTCCAACAACTATTGCATAGGGTTGATAACCAGTTTTATAGGTTGTTTGATTAGTAAACGAACCATTCCCATACCCGAAAAGTACACTCATATTATTACTTATAGAATACGCGACAACGATGTCCAATTGTTTATCATTGTTAAAATCTCCTACAGCTACAAAATCACGAAATGAACCAGTTGAAAATTCTATACGATGTGCAAACGAACCATTACCATAACCGAGATAGACATTTACATCATTGTTATCATAACAGACGAGAACAATATCTAATTGATTGTCATTATTAAAATCACCACTAGCCATAGACCATGAATGATTACCACTTGGATATACTTTTTCCTTTTCAAAAGAACCATTTGCATATCCAACGAGAATACTGATTGTATTACCAAAATGATTAGCAGCAACTAAATCAAGTATACCATCGTTATTAAAATCACCAACAACTATAGAACGTGGTGAAGAACCAGTTGTATACATCATTGGATTAGAATAACCTTCAAAATAACCAATAAGAATATCTATACTTCCAGTATCATTATTAACAACAATCATATCCAATCGATTGTCTTTATTAAAATCACAAATAGCAAATGAAACCGAAGATAATGATCCAGTTGAATTCATTCTTGCACTAGAAAAAGAACCGTCCCCGTATCCAAGAAGTAAACCAGTATTTTTACCACCAATACTGATAAAAGATAAATCCATATGATTATCTTGATTAAAATCACCAACATCAATTGAATATGGTGAAGTAGAATCAATAGGATAAATAGTTTGATTTGGAAAATTTCCATTCCCATTATTTATGAAGACGCCAATAGTTTTAGTTCCATAATTGGTAATAGCAATATCAAGAAAAGAATCTTTATTAAAATAACCAACAGTTATCGATGATGGATGTGAATTAATACCAGTCGAAATAATTATTTTATTACTTAAACTTCTATCATGATTTCCAAATAAAATTTGAATATTATTTGTTCCATAATTTGTTATAGCAATATCTAAATAATGATCATTATTAAAATCTCCAGTAATTAATGATGATGACGATGAATCATATCCAGTTGAATAAATCAATGGATTTAAAAATGTACCATTTCCCGATGAATAAAATATACTTATACTATTCATTCCATAATTAATTATAATCATATCAAGTAATGTATCATTATTAAAATCAACTAAATTAATAAATATTGGACGAGATGAATCTGTTGAAATATCTTTATAATTAATAAATGATCCATTTTCTGATCCAAGAAAGATTCGAATATTATTTGTACCAATATTTGTAACTACAATATCTAATTGATGATCATTATTAAGATCACCAATAGCAACCATATATGGAATAGAATTCGCACCAGTTGAATATTCATTTTGTTTTATGAAAGTTCCATTTTTATTTCCAAAATAAATAGCGATATTATTAACATTCGAATCAGCAGTAACTAAATCTAACCATGTATCATTATTAAGATCAGCAACCGCAATAGATCTTGGACCATATTTATATTCTACTGGATTGATTGATGTTGGTGAAAAATTTAACCCACATGGTGTAGCTAAAAAAATAACTACTTATCAACAAATTAATTATTTAAAAAAAAAACATACCTTGTGATTTCGATGCAGTTAAACATACTATAATAACACCGCTTATCGTTGCAATACACGTGAAAAGACATAATACAATGGCAGCAATAGGTGAATTTATTACATCTAAAGGAGTCTCTTTTCTAAAAATAAAAAAAAAAACATTCATTAAAACGAAACTAAAGAAAAAGAACATACAGCATTAATACTGTTGGTTCAGTTCTGTCCGGAATGGACGTATTTCGTCTATCCAGATTCACACTTGAGTTTTGACGTCTATTAGAAGAAGGTGGTTGAGAGATAGTAGTAATATTAAGAGAATTCATTTGAATCTAAATTAAAAAATTTATAATATCTCATACAGTATATTAATTCAATATACCTGAGTTGTATTGGATGCCATTATTTATCTTATACTAGGAATTCATCAAATTTTAATTGTATGAAACTATCATATAAAAATAGAAGAGAAATACGTAAATAAACTGAATCAGAATGCAATAAGTATAATTTATATTTTTATTTTTTTCTTCTATGGTAATCATCCATGCATAGATCATGTCTTTTATCTTAACAAATTATATACAAGAGTCAATAGGTGAAAATCTTAATTTATGATACAATTGTATTGATTCGTAATGTATAAGCCACGTTTTTCTTTATGTTAACTAGAAAAAATACATGAAATAGACAATACAGTAAAGCGCCTATAAAGGCATTATTTCTTTTTTTCTTTATATGCGTAACGAGTATTATTTATGACTCATGAATTATAAAAAAAAAGCAAAAACAAATTACGTTCCTCACCTGTCTCATGTTAATAGAACATGTATAAAAATAATAATGGCTTGCGTCATCAATATGATCACTTAATGTATGAAGATTATACGACAATGGTAATTTTTTTCTTTTTCGAAATAATATTTATAAATTTATTATAAGACAAATTATTCAAATATTTGAAGTGTTCGAGATAATGCTTTCGAAAAAGATAATTGTGCGTATAAACTGATCATTACCGAAGGAAATATTTTTGGTTTCGTTTTCGAAAAATATTTATTAAATAAAGCATAAATGATATAATAACTCATGATTATGTATAACAGAAAAATATTAAATCTTGATAAATACGTTTTAAAAGTGTTATGTAAACATTTTCCACAATAAATAATAATAAAATAAGCATAATAATCTTATATCATACAACGATAGTTTTGTATCAGTACTTGACGAATCTTGCTTATTTATTACTGCAAACTCAGTAATGATAAATTTTGATACAAAAATACACTGTTTTTTTTATAAATTTTCATACATAACAAGAAATAGTTTAAGATTCATTTAGTTCTTAGTTATAAATTGATGGGCTATAAGACGTAAAAGATACTATATTTTGATTATCATATGTTCGTAAAGTATGATATATACGCGTAGAGGAAATGACAGAACGAAAGAGGTTTCTTACACATTATGATAAATACCGAATATGATGACAAAACAAAACAAAACAAACAACTATAAATTATAGATTGCAACATAGTGCGTTCGAAATCAGACAATTGAATTCTGATTGGATAACTATACATATTAAAATATAAGACATACACGATTTTGTAGAATATTTGAAATTTTAAGAGTAATTAAAAAGTATCTAAAATTGTGAGGAATACATTATTAATATAAATGATTAATTCTTTAGGTTATTGATACATTCCATGAACTAAACTGTACAATTGGATCGTTTATCAGCATATTCTATGATAATTATTCTATAAAACTTTTCATTTTATTATTTAACACATTTATATACTGAAAAGTAATCTGTGTGCAAAAAGCGATTTAAATGGCTAGTCTTCATCTCAACAACGACATCATAACTAATTTGAATTCCAGTCCGTCATGCATATCATAGTTCTAACGTCGTGATTGACGTCTGTGATAATATATGATAGAGGACCTGCCTAGGATGTTGAAGGGGGTGAGGTTGCAGGTATGGATAAAATAGAATGCTCAGACTCTCACATTTGCATTATACTTCTTTGTTTTATCATATTTACTTGTTAAAACAACTTATTCATTGAATGATTTATATTTTTTGACGATGTTGAGTAGAATTCACTTTATATCTGAATAATACTACATATGAATAAAACACATCAATAAACATAACATCTCACTCAATACTGTTGATGAAGTCAAAATGAAAATGAGATGTTAGTATAATGTGCCATTAAGAGTTGGAAGACCAAATAAAATAATTTTAATATTCAATGAATTCAACATTAATGCCTTTTTCCTTTCGTAATCAGTTTTTTAGATCATGAATTGAATGATTAAGTTCGAATGTTTTACTAACAGAAAAAATAAGCGAAATTTATCAATAAACTGATTCACATTTATTTTTATACCAATAATTTGTCCATCTTCAAAATTCGAAGGTAAATAAATACGTTGTTTTTGAATGAGTTGACAATTATTGAGCAAAGAAAAGAAGTTCTGTCAATAAGACAAAATAACTAATTTATATCATATATATATTGGTTTGTTTGTCGAACACTAAACTGATGATACTAAAGAAGTTGAGTTGAATATGTTTTCACTTTTGAGAATAAGATAAAATAATGAATTGTAAAAGTGAAATAAAATATTTTGCTAAAATCATTTGAATTATTTTCTATTATTAAATAATCGTTTAATTGAGAAACTATTTTTGTTTTCTTTTATTTATCAATAAAAGAGAAAAATCATTCAATTTTTCTTCACCATTTATTATTTTAATTAAATTCGTTGAATCATTTTGTTAATTAATGAAACTTTATAGAATATATTTGATTTGTTTTTCTTTTTATTTAGATTATGATAATAAATTATCATTAATTAAAAATCCTTTCCTTTTCCATGGCGAAAAATCAAAAGCCAATTTGATAAAATCTTACGAAAACAATTTTTGTTTAATTTTTCGATTATTACTAAATTTTCCTATCTGACAAAAAAGGATTTATTTAAATAAACGAGAAAGTGTTTATTTAACAACTGAAATTTCGAATTTATTGTTTTTCGTCAATTTTGATTTTTTAATAAAATAAAACGAATTTGGTCTTTTGTTTATTTTTCCAATTTTTTTATTTTTATTTTAATGAACTATTTTATTTTACTTTTAATATTTAAATGTAAAAGTAATTTTTAGAATTTTATTTTCATTCAATAATTTTTTCTTTTAAAAAAAAATATTTTTTTTAATCGAATTTTTCCATTTTGACAGATTTCATTCTTATTCATTCATCTTTTTTCTTCTCTCTTCACTTTCTCTCAATAAATCATTAAATCATCAAAAAAAATCTAATAAAAAACAACTTGTTTGTATTTGCAACTTTTTTTTTATTAATTTAAATGTTTTTCTCAGTTTAAGAAATATTTTATTTTATTTTTTTATAAAATAAAATTTTTTTAATTTAAACTGATATTAACAAATATTTATTTACCTTTTTTTTTATCTAAAAATAAAAAACAAATTTATTTATTTTAGTAAAAGAATTTTATTAATTAATTTTTATTCATTGTCTTTAAGATTTTCATAAATTAATGTTTTTTATGTTTATTTTCAAAAATAAAAATCGAAGTTTTGTCAAATTAGATTAAAAAGATTTTTAATTTTAGAGTTTGTCATATTTTTGGATTCGATGATTGAAAGAATCAGCAACATAAAGATTTTCTTCATTATCAAATGATAAACCCATGGGACAATCCAATTGATTTGATTGATTTCCTTTGCCATTTCGACCAACAACAACTTCACCTTCTTCATCTCCTTCACACCAACGCATTACTCGATGATTAAAACAATCTGCCACATAGATTTGACCCAAATGATCAACAATCACTCCATCAGGATAATATAATTGTCTGAGACTATTTCCTTCACCATTTCCACCAGCAACAATAATTCCTTCTTTTGCATCTTTTTTCCATTTCATTACACGATGATTCTCTTTATCTGATATATAAAGAGAATAATCTTCATCAAGAAAGATATAAGTAGGTTGATGGAATTGATTAAGATCATTTGCTTGACCATTCCCACCTGCAACTAATTCACCTTTTGTAGCTCCTTGTTTCCATCGTCTTACCTCATTATTCGCTCGATCAGAAACATAAATAAATCCATTTTTATCGATTGTCAGACCATTACAATTAATCTTTGAAATAATAATTTGTGGATTTATTTTATTTTGATCAAAATATCGAATTACTCGTTGGTTCACCCAATCAGAAATAATAAAAGAATTATTTTCTTTATCAAAAATTATATTTGTTGGACAATTTAATTGATTATTTTGATTTCCTTTTCCATTTCCACCTGCAATGATTTGACCAGTATTTGAATTCACTTTCCACTTAACAACACGATGATTCTCATAATCAGCAATATAAATTGATTTATCATTATCAATGCATATCCCCCAAGGACCAGAGAGTTGATTTAGTTCCTGCCCTTTTCCATTTCCTCCAGCAACAGTAATTCCAAATTGTTGATATTTATTCTTTTTTGTTTGAACTTCTTCTAAAATAAAAGGTTTTCTTTTTATTCAAAATCTTTTTCATTATTTCTAGATCAAAAAAAGGGCGAAAATAAGAAGAAAAACTTGTATTTGAATTTCTTTTAGTAAAACAAAATTTTCTTTTTGCTAAATTTTCTTTTTAATGAACAAAACTAATTCTACACAATGTCTTCATTTCTTTAGGCTTTTTAGTTACAAATTCTTTATTAGATTTTGATGAAAATTTAATTTAGAAAAATCGTTTTTTAAATTAAAACTGTTTTTATCTCAGCCATTTAAATTAAATCGATTAAAAACTTCTTTTTGTGTACTCAAAAAGTGAGTACACTACTAGAATCGGTCAGTGTGTCCGGCCGACCGTTTACACGATAATTTTCGAAAGGCTAAGCCGATTCTCACGAAATTTTGTACACAGTTTACTCTTATCTAGATCTCGGTAGAGTTCGAAGATGATCCGACTTGGCCGGGCCATTCCTGAGTTATTGCAAAAATACTGATATTTCCCTATGATTTCCATATACACTTTTTGCAGTACACATAACTCTCGGATAAAATCCGAAGTTTCCACATTTTTTATTAATGAAGTAAATAATTCTTTTGTTTAACAACTCTAAACTAAAGAATTAAGCTTAACTTAAATTTATTGAATAATTCAAAAACAAAATAATCTTTTGATTAAAATATTAAAAGAGATTTTTCGAATGAAAGAAATCTGAAAATTCTATTTATTTTCACAAGTTTGTTTAGATTTGAGTTTTATATCAAGAATAAATCTGTAAAAAAACAAAAAGGTAATGAGTTCATAAAAAAATTGTTAATTGATTAATCTGTTGAAATGATATTTAAAATTAATTTTCATTTCGATTTTTCTAAATATTTTAAAATGATTAACTATAAAATATTTTATATAGAATTTAAATAAATTTAAAATAGAAATCATGAAGAAAATATTTGAAATAAGATTGATCAAAAGAAAAGAAAACTTTTATTGAATGTTGATCATTTTGATAATTTGAAAAGAAGATGAGATTAATTTTAGTTTTAAACAAAGATAACTTATTTGAGAAACAAAAATAGAACTATTTATTCACATTTTGTCAATTTTCATTTTTATTCAATAAAATTATTTTAAAATAAATACTTAAGCCAAAAAATTAAATTTGAAAATATTTAATGAAATTATTCTTAACAATAAAATTGTGTTGATAAATATCCAGAAACTAGAATTCGAATAATTTAAATTAAAAAAAGATTTTATTGTTAGAATATATTGCTGAGAAAAACTAAATTTTATTCGATTAAATACAAAGAATAATTTTCTATAAGAAAATAAAGAGAGAACTGCTGCAAAGATCATTTTAAGTTAA